CTCCTTTTTCTTAAATGTGAAGCTAGAGATATAATTTGTACAGTGTAACTTGTGTCGAAGATGTAGAATCAATTACGTTTTGTCAGATTACTGTTTCAATAGTTGAATAGATTGGTGATACGATCCACACACGCTTTTTAAAATGTAGTATTCAATGATCAATAAATTAGCGTTTATGATATTACCGATCTGCTGAAGTTATAAGTACTATTTTTTATTGTAGATGGTAACCGACCCTGCCACGTAATTCAAAGCATATGTACTGTGGCCACTTGCAGGAGAGACGGCACAGGCATTCAATGTTCGTAATGTTCACCGGGAACGAATATATATTAAAAAACTAAATTAAATAAACTAAATATAAGTACTTTTCTCTTGGGTGTGGCAAGATATATATTGAAATAGTATCATATCATATCCGCTTGGCAAAGACTTTTATTTCTTTCGCTGTTCTTAAATAGCAAAGACGCAAGGCAAGGCAACGGTGGTTAAATGTGTGTGCCATTTGGTACTGCTTTTTACTGACTAAATTAAAAGCATTTATAAAGCCTGTTTTCATATCTCATTGAGGAAACGTATATATTAATCGTGCCTCATGAATAAAACCAATGAATTTGGTATATTCAGGTCATACAGCGAACACGTATATCAGATTGTTTATTGCAGTGTATGTACTTATGATTAGTATTAAAAACACACAACGAGAGTTTGGTTTGTCTGTAGTTAGTCACGTGGTACATTCATTGTTATGAAAGCGGTAAATTGGACTTCATGAACTTTCAGGGGCGCATCTTTAGGTAGCGTAAAACGATTATGTTTTCTCGACCGAAAAGCAAAAAATCGAAATAGTGTATCTTGGTGAAAAATAAATGTTATTAATAACATCATTAGATTATTCTCAAAACATGTGCGTTCTTATTAGCCGTTAATGCAAATACTCTAAATGAAGAAAATACTAATGTTATTAGCTTTAACTAATTGGCTTTTAGATTTACTAGATTGAATTAGATGGGTATTGATTTTTAGTTCATGTTATTTGATTTACACGTCTAGCTTTGTGTTACGTTACTTCAAACAATTTGCTTGTTCGCCAAGGCGTGAAAGCCGTGTATGCACCGCATGTTCACTAAAATAAATGTAATTGATAAGTTGTGAAATGATTTTCTAATATTTATAAAGCATTGTAGTTGTTGCATCGGATTAATATTCGTTAGAACATTGTTTAATTCTAACCTGTGGTTGAAGGGTCGACCCTGGGTGAGTGTGTCATATGCTTAATTCATTCACTAACGAATGCAACTTTCGTGAAACCTAGATTAAAGTACACATGTGATTGCTTTCGATCGGGCCAGTATAGAAAATACATTTGGTAGGGTAATAGCCGCACAGCCCTGTCACGTAATCCCATACTTTATTATGGTTACTGTGACGAATATTACACTTGCAATTTGATATAAAACCATCACTGTAGTGGACGTCTGACTGTAAATACATTAAGTTTTTATTTTATCTAGTCAGATGTGTTTTTATCGATGACATGTGATAAGTAAAACAGTAATATGAACAACATATCGTTCTAACTAGCACCTACATGACTACTAGAATATATAAGTTTTAGTTCTACCACTGGAATATATAAGTTCAATTAGAACAGTGTCTTTAAAACGGGCCACATTTAATCCGTATCTTAGCACGTACTAAGAAAACGTGCGTGACCGCTACTATTAAACTTTCAGCAAAGGGAAAAGTAAATCATGTTAACTTACAAAAACAAAAGGGCAATATGATTTTAAATTTTAAATGTAATAAAACAAAAACCGTGAAAGTAAGCTAGTTGCCATGGAGGGCCTCTCACATATGTTTGCGCTCGTCTTAAAACAAACATAAGTGATGAGTAAACGCCACTTTTATATGTTTCTATTTACAATGAATGAAATGCTAGTTTGTGACGATTCAAATATTCAGTGTCATTCTGTGTCAATGAAACAAATACATCTCCAAGCAGACATACACAGTGTCTACATAATTAAATAATTTCAAAACATGGATAACCACTTGAGACGTTTTACAGAAACTACATGTAACAATTACTAGATAGTCAAATCTTTTAAACCTTTCATGTTCTTTCAAACCTTAATCAATAATTGATAAACGTGGTGGAATAAATTCGAACGAGACAAACCTCTATTCATTTAAAAAATTGCGAAATTTTGTAGCGGTGAAAATTTCTCCGGGGGTCTGAAAACCGGATGGTCTGTGGCTTTTTCGAAATAATGTCTTCACGAATACCATAACATGCTTAAATCGTGAAACTTCCTGGTTGCGAATATTAAACGTTTTATAGTATATGTGCGTATATAATTACCGTATTGATCGAACTTAAGACAACAACTCACTTCTGGAAACAAATGTATCTAGGTTGTGAGCAAAACGTGTCTCACCACACACATTTACTTGAATGAGGGCAATGGCATTTCATAATTCAGGAATACGTCTGATGTAGAGCACAATGTAGTTCAGCTACATCAAAAGGGTTATACCTTTTAAAATAGCAAGAACCATTAGAAAAACATGGATATTGCGTAATATGTTTTAAGAAGCATTCGCGCACACGAAATCAATATAATATTCAAACATGTCTATTAATTAAAAATTATTAAAAGTGTAAATATGTATATCTTCAATGAGTACGTTGATATATTGTCGCGTAATACTTTTAGTATATTTAAGATGCACGTGTGAATATATTGTATTTGTACGCAAGGACATAATAGTAATAGCACATTTCACTACATGGAGAAATGTGAACACATATTCTCTTGTAATTTGTCATTGCGATCAAACCTGATCATAAGTTAATACATATTTTGTATAATGGTTAAGTGAAATGCATTTGTTTTACATTTAGATGTCTTAGTTTAAAAAACAACTTCGCATCTGCTTCCTCACGGTGATATCGATGATCGTTTGTTTGAAAGCTAATGTGCACTTACAAGGACTTTGTTTCTTGACTATATTCTTCTGTAAATGGTGCAAATCCGTCTTTTAATTATTAGTGTTTGCCATAAAACACATCGTAATTCTTCGAGGGCGCACATTACTTTTATGTGTATGTGTCATTAGATGTAACACTCGTAGGCTTGTTGTTTGTGTAGCGGCTTACCGAGAACATTGTTCATACGTATGGCCTCCGACTGCCCCTGTGGAATCTGTGGAATCAAAACTTGTAATTGCTTACTCGCGAAAGGTAACTTACATGGTACTAACACGAGGATTGTGATGCTGCGCTATTATCCGCGATTTAATGGTATTTGCGAGGTAAGCCGTGTCTAATTTGTGTAGACATTTGCATTAGTGATGTCAAAATTGATATAAATTCAAAAAGACATTGGCGCCCAGCTGCAACATTGTGCATTTTGCGGTAAACTTTTTTTTAATTTTTTTTTATTATCTTTATATGATATTAAAACAATACAAAGTAACATATAACTGCATAATATACAATTTCGTAAAAAAGTACAAGAAATTTAAAATGAAGAGGTGATTTCTGTTTGAATTTGAAGGTATGCCCATTATTATATCTTTCTGAGAAAATTATTATCAATATGCAGTTATCCAAAGCTGACGTGATTTACCAAATACACTAAATATCATGTCATTGAGAACAAAGCCTATTCTGTCGTGTGAAATTCTCCAATAAACTCACGAATTGAAGTGAGCATTGTATACAACTGTTCTATATATTCGTGAAAACAATTCAAGGAAGATCAATGGTATCCAGTTATTGTGTGTATGTGTCATGTATAGGGACATGTTCGTCATAACGTTCTGCTCACAATATTATGTTTTTACATTCTCATAGATACGGATTAACTTTAGAGAAACCTGCATACAATAACCGCTAGTTGGGACATTCGATTGCATTTGTCTGATACAGCTGTCATATCGTGAAGCCTTTGAATTCCCTGTATAAAATTGCAGCGTCTGAAAGTTACAGAAGTGAATATCACCGCTGAATTTGTTTTCAGGGATACTGTTGGACAGTAGCTTTCGATTTGTTTTAATTGTTCATTGTCTACTCAAGTGGGTGTTGATCATAGGACTTCTCGGATTATAAAGGCCAGTGATGCTTTCATAGTGGGATTATCTACTGACTGACTATTTAGCGTGATTACTGAATTTTGTAGCCAAACGATGAAAGCGTGTAATTATTGAGAGGGGGGTTATCGCGCATTAACCTGTGTCTGACCCTTGCAAGTCGGAAGATCACCGGATTGTTTTAAGACCTTAAGACCTCAATATTTCAAAGTAAAGAGATATAAAATGTGCATTTAATTTGGACTGTCTTCATCAGCAACGCACACCAAATTTGAGTTTCCAAACACAAGTCTGCAAGTATGTCATTGTCTTCCGCGTACATTGCAAGTTTGAACTTCACTCTTCATTCCACACTAGCACCA